TATATATCACCCCTATGTATACATTCATCAACGACAGATCAACCGTATGGATCTTTGGATTTGAACTTAAGATACTGTACGACTGGTACTTCGGGGATTTCTTTGGAAAGGAAAAGAACTAAGAGGTACTCCATTCATGAGTACTTGGTGTTCAGATATGACGGCTTCGCTAGAAAGGCGATTTCGAAAAATCAGATGTACGTATGAAGCTGTTTTTGTGAGGATCAAATTGAATCAAGTCGTATGATAATGTCGGAATCATAAGGAAACTTAAGGACATTAGATTTGAACATAAGATGTTTACAGACAAAACACAACAGTGCAACCATTAACAGAATTACAATACTTTAGACTACTACAAGACTATTGCTGCATATAAGGTATACTACAAAAGGCAAGTATACGCAGCACGAGCATCCCTATACCGACGGGATCCCGCAAAAGATAAGACTCTAGTTGCACTAGTTTTGGATGGTTTATAAGTCTGTTACAACGAAACACCTAAATTACAATAACATGGGTTCTGAGTAGGTTCTCCTGCAGCTGTGATCCTGAGAATCCTACCGTCTTCACCAGAGTTCTTTGTTATAGGGCAATCCTTCTTGAGATGCCTTATCTCCCCGCATTGGTGGCATGATTGGCTAGTACTAGCCTTGGTGGAGGAGTGACGTGTTTAGCCAATGTTATGTGGACACAAGTTCCTTTCTCATTACACCACCTTGGAAATTGCTTCTTAAAGCGTTCTACAGGAGTTGCCAGGTGTTGCTGTGGCATGGCAAGTCTTTGGGATCTCTTATGCTCCTTTAGGGCTTGACGATATCGTCTCTTCCTTACGGTCTTACGGCTTCGCAAGTCTATGACTGTTGCCATTTGTTGGTTTCCCAGTTTGGTACTACCATCGGAACTCTCGACTCCTTTTTCGGTATTGCTTGTGTTGCCTGAATTGATGTGTGTAAGGAAAGTTGTCACAGCAACTGCTACTGCAGCTTGTAATGTAGCGGCATCGAGATGGAGATAGGGGTTTCATTGCTTGGCTGATTGTTTCCGGATGACGACATGATTATCCCTATGATGCAGTCTTAGTACGGATTGGAAGTATGTTTGCGGAGGTTTGACCTACATCCCTATGATGCAGTCCTAGTACTGAGTAGAAGTATGTTTGTACAATGCTCTTTAAACGTTTGTCGTTCAAGCCGAGGTATTATAGGTTGATGGATAATATGATCCAACCTTTAAAAGAGGCTTGAAAATGATTTTGGAGTTAAATTACCATAGTCCAATAGCTTGACTATATGGGGTTTCAGATAGACTCCAACGGTGGTAAAATGAAGATATTTGAAGAAAGAGTAACACGAAAGTTAGTCGAAGTTCATATATTCGATGTTGGAGATGTAATAGGTTTGGGGAAATTAACCTTGTTGTAGGTCGTACATCATATTCGGAGTAGAAAAGTCCTTGACAGCATAAAGGCTTAACTAAAAGTACTTACAGTACATGGTAGTCACATAGAAAGTACTACACAGAGCACAGACAGGAACATGGTTCTTTAAAATGAAGGAGGAAGTAAAGTATCTCCTACTAGCGACGGTCACCCCTATGGTGAACCCTTAGTTTGGTTAGTTGACGTTTCATATCAAGCAGGTATCTCTCGTACATCGTCTTGCATACATGGAGCTCTATGGCTTCGACTCGGGTTTCAGCTAGTGCTTGCAGCAGGGTCTCATGGTTTCTCTCAGATCTCTCACTGGTGATCAAGGTGATTGGTGCGAATGGTATGCATTCTTGCATTGGCATTAACCTCTTCGACATGTTGAAAAGTCGTCCTGCCCTGAATTTCGTTTCGGGAAACTCTACGGATTATGATTTGTAGAACTCTATCTACTGAGATTCCTTCACTTGAGTGGTAGAAGCTTCGATATCCTTTAAAACGGCATAGGTTGATCTTGCTCTTCCTCCATGTTTCCAAGCATTCTACCCAAGGAGGCGTCGGGCCATGAAGAGTTGGACGAGGGTTAGGGTTTGAATTGGGAGCTACTGGGAGCTACTAGGGGTAGGTTCTCATCCTCGAGTTCGGAGTTATCATCATCCGAAAGGTCTTCAGCATGGTGATCATTCAAAAAGGGAGTGCATGATCATTCTCTGGTTCTTCTCTGAACAATCCAGCACTGCCTTTGATCGGGAAGTATGGGTTATCGTGGGGATGGAGTCCAGGCATGTTGTCTACACGAGAATTTGTGTAAAGAAATAATTATTAGACGAACTATCTAGATGATTATTAGATAATCTTCATTAGTTACATCATTATTTGTAGAGTGCATACCAGTTATATGTAATCAAAACAGGATAGGCTTTCGAATAAGTGAACTCAACTCCAAATTCACAAGAGGAGTAAAGCAGAATTTCACACATTCTATGTCTATGACATCCTAGTTACATATATGTAACACCAAGATTTTCGAGACAAAAATTTTTATTGAAATAATCAATTTAATATTAATAC